TCCTGGCGCATCATTTAATAAGTGGTAACTTAACAGCAATGTATCTTTTGAAATGCTGCGTTCAGTGGTGAAATAACCCTGTTTTTTAATTCCCTCCCAAGATTCTGAGTAGTTGTTGCAAATGTATGGAAACCACTCGCCTCTGGAAGGGCAGGTGATTTCCTTGAAGCTCCATAAAATGAGGAGGAATAGAGATGTCATGGGGTAAAGACTGGGTGGCATGCCTTCCCTTCGGCTCTCTCAAGGCCTCCCCAGCCTCTTCTTGCAAGAGCTTGAGGTGTTTGTGTAAAAGCTTCCTACCTTCCTCCTCTCTCAAGGACGCTGTGCTCGGAAAGCTTCATCGATTTCTTTTACTGGATAGTGGCAATTTTGCCTGTCCCTCGTAACCCTCAGAAACAAGCCTTGTGAGGTCACCAAAGCAACTGGCAGTGTGCTACTTTTAAAGCTCTTTTGTACCTGACTTTTCCGTAATGCCCAGAAGAGGGTCCAGCCCTCCCAACCAAGGAGGTGTCCAGAGGCTGCTGGCCTGGCCTTCCACTGGCTTTAGAGCATCATTTAATGTCTGCTCTGTTTGTCCTCTTTCTGTGATATTTGAAATGGGATTTCTCATCAAAAATAGCCGTTCAGATATCTAAATCAGGAAGATGGCTTCAAAGCCCATGGGATAAATGGGAGTCAATTCTGTGACCAAAGTCCATGCAGGGGAGGACTTTACACTTGCAGACCCTCAACCCATGCGGTTGAACTCAGACCAAAGTCCCCTTTACAAAACCATTTACAACTCACTAAGAGGATCCCAGGAGGGAGGGGAGAACGCAGGCCATCTCCTTGGTGCCGTATCTTGTTTGGAAGGAAGCAGATTCCTCCACTGTCAGCTATGGATCAAATGCCTTGCCAAAAGCAGAAAAGCAAATGTGGTCTGTGCTGCTGTGGGGAGGGGTGGTTCTGAAGGACTGAAGACAGGGCGGGCGGATGGGACAGCAACAGGGAGTTGTCCATGGGCTTTGTGTTCTGGCTGGGGCTCAAGATGGGCTGCCACTGCAGCAGGAAGCTCTCTAGCCTTCTTCAGATCCTCCCGGCAAATATTCCCTGCACTAGGAGCTAGCTGTGGAGCATTCAAAAGTAAACAGTGCAGCCCTGCTTTTAAGGAATTCCCAGTTAGTGAGGGAGACAAGCCACAGGTGGATAGTTTCAATGTGCTATCTCGGGGGATTCAGGGCACTTTGCTCTGCTTGCTAACAAGAATCTGGACCAGGCAACTGCAACAGAATTCAGTTACCTCCCAAACTTGGGGCCTAATACTTCACGATAAAGTGGTGAGCACGGTGGGAACATACAGGGGCATCTGCCCGCATGAGAAACCTCAGAAGGATGCAAGGAGAATGTGGCAGGAGGGAAGGAAATACCAGGTAGAAGAAACAGCGAGATCAAACACAGTGGTGTGAAACATTTTGTATCTGGGACACATGACTGGCTAGTTGCGGATGGCTTCTTAGAATACCGTGGCTCTAAGACAAAAACCTTTCCTTTCCTTTGTTCTAAGGCTTGTTCTTGGGATTGACTGGGAACTTTGGACTCCAATTGGGGTGCAGAGTGCTTCGTGGGTGTGATCGGATGGTCTAGTCTCAGCTCCTGGAGGCTGTAATCGGGTCTGTTTTCCTTTGTGGGTTTGGATGTACTCACCAGAACACCCTCTCATTGTCACTTCTCTGGGATTGAACGTTACAATCATAATATGCAACTTCCGCTCACTCATGATGTGACTTTTAATAATCCCTGTCAACGGCAGCTGGTTAACATGGGAGCTCTGAGCTAAGCCTGCACCTACATGCTTATCTAGAACATGTTAGGGATCTGTGACAAGCAGGCATTCCTCACCAGGAAACCTCCATCAGAACCGGGTTATATACAGAAATACATTGTAACACTTGACCCTCATCCCAGGTGCTAAAACTTGGGTCAATGTCCCTGCTCTACTGATGAGGTGCCTGCAGCTGGGAAGCCTTTAGAACCTGCCAAACCGAGATCTTTGCTGCCACTACACCAAGTAGAGCACATCTGTCCTTGGCATTCAGGCCTCAAGTTCATATGAGAACATTCTGTCTAAAGGTGCTTTGCCACCCCCCACCATAGGCCAGCACAGCCTTATTCATCACCTACCTCTCTCACTCCTGACTTCTTCACTGTTGCATCCACGTGCTCAAGGCAGGGTGTGGCATATAGAACCACCAAACAAATGGCTCATCGGTAAAGGAAGCCACCTGGCTGGTCCCTAAGGCCAGCTTTCTCTGTGTATCTCTTTGATGAATGTCAGTGTCCCACTAGGGACTCATGTGCCTGGTGGCTGCACACAGACATAAGTCCCACAAATACAGGTGATATCAGGCATTTCATAGATTTCCATTTCTATTTGGCAAAGGGATACCATATAATGATGTTCTATACAATGAACACTTGGGACTTGTCAACTCATTGCACCCACAGTTTACATCCTTCGCTGACTCTGCTCACCCTCCTGCCTTTAAGTGTGGTTAAGAGTGGTTGCACAGCCTCTCAGAGGTATCCTTGCAGTAGGGAACTCTGGCTGTCCTCGGGGACGGTGCATTATCAGTCTCCAGGAGCTTGCTTTGTCTTGAATCAGTGGCTCTGACTTTCTATTGCTGCTATTATGTATCAATCAATTCCCCCTGAACCCATTCCATGTTTATTCTCCTTGATTGCTCTGTTCTTCTGCACTGCCATTTTGATTGTGATTTTTTTTTTTGCTTCTCTTCAATGCTTTATCACCTCACAATTATTTTCCCACTGAAAAGCAGTGACAGGGTAATCATCTAGACTTGAGTCACATTTTCAAAGGTTTGAGAATCCTTCCACTCTCCTCGGTAACCTCACGGAAGCCTTGGAGGACCATGCTTCCTTTTGTTTCGAAATAAAACATGTACGCTCCTAATAATCATCATATGAGGCAATACTGGTGGCCATGTCAGAGGAGCAGCAGGTGGCAATTGAAGTTCAAGGTGTTAGTCCACCAGGAGACAACTCCCTAATGGGTGAATCTCAGATAGGCAAGGCCCGGAGACTACAGACCCCGGAATGTCTTTTGGCTCTGCTGTGCCTTTCCATGTTTGCTGCTGATATCTTTCTCTGGTATCTGATATGGTGTGAATGGGTGTGGGGAGATCCTCACTGCCTGTAATGTAGTGTGGTTATCTCATGGAAACATCCCATTCTTAACTGGGCATTTTTACCTGTGAGTTACTATGAAGATGATGTCTTCTTAAGCTATACTAATTGATAATAATGTTAGTTTAAATAGAGTTTTGATGATAAAAATATAAACAAAGAAATGTCACACAGCTAGAGCACATTGAGAAGCCATGTAGACTGTGGTTTAGGTTAACGATTAAGAAAAACAATTGAGTCCCAGTAGTTTAAATTTTTTAAATCTTAATGTTGGGAGGTGTGTTCACAGGTTTCAGAGTATATCATAGCTGAATCAAAGCTTTGAAAATAACTTTATTTACACTAAGATGTTTTCATCAAACAGCTTTGTGGTAAAAACTCAAGAAGATAATCTGAAGTTTTAGAAAGGCACACAGTTGAATGAGGCACTCGTTAAGTCCAGGAATAAAAACAAAGCAACCTGATTATTATTAGTTGACATGCCTTTCTTGCTAGGACTGGTTGATGACCAAAGGTGATGATTAATTCCTTGTACCCATTTTCTCCCTTAATCTCCTGATATAGAAAGTATTGATGAGCGAATATGCACCCTAAAGATTTAAAGTAGAGCTAACTGATTCTTTTTCATATTATAAAAGTTTAGGTTTGTGATTCTTTTCAGATTCCTTATAAGATTACCTTTCAAGATGAGTAATAAAGTAATTGACCCTTTCTTTGTAACTGCAAAATGCAGCCTGCCAGTAAAAGACCAGACTGAAAAGAATACCTTGCTTGCCCATACGGTTAATCTATAATAAATTGCTTGGGTATGAATGTACGTGGGTTCTTGGGACAATTTATTTTTCACCTGTAATACATAAAATGTTTAATCACATAAGGGAAAGCATGCTATTTTTTTATATTTGTTTTGTATTCATTGTAATCATTCACTTGAAAAACAGAATGTAACCACATTGTAATTCCTATACTGCCTGAAAAACATTGTTGTGGTATATAAGCTGAATAAAATAAGTATACAGTAGAAAGAACACAGGAAAGAATACAGAATAGAGAATAAAGAAGGAAGTCATCCTGAGAGAGTATGGGTGTCTTTTTCCCTAACCCCTCAGACAGAAAAGTCTAGTCTGCGCTGATGCCGTGGATTCCTTCCTAGCTCTGTGCTGCTGGAGGCTGGGCCCCTGGGCGGGGAGAGGTGAAATGGGGGAGATGGGGTAAAATGCAGCTCTCTAAAATGCCTCCAGTAATGCACATAAAAGGGAAAAGGAGAGAGCGCACGCTAGCATCGACACACCCACACCATTGGTCCTGCTTTCCACCCCTTCCAGACTTCCCTCCCACCATTTCACAGAGACACACAAAGCCCAAGTGTTCCCCCATTCACTTCCACCAGCAAATGCCAGGCATCTTCAAGGTCAAGTGACTCAGTCATTGTAGTACTTGCATGAGATGTGCTAAGGCTTTCCTTTCTGCCTTTTCCGTGCGTCCCTGACAGTTTTTTAATGCTGTGCCTCACGTTATTTGCCCCACAATACATAGTGAACTGAGAGGCAAGTAGATGACCAAGGTGTATATGTATCTGTATTGTCTAGTCTTCTAGGACTCAGTGCAGCTGGGTACATACAGCCTTCTGGTTCACCTGCTATTTTCTTAGGCCAGAGTGGGATCTTTAGTCCAGCAAATGTAAAATTTCCATTATCCTCAGATTGTTCACTAATCTATTTGCTGAAACAAATGATTTATGGGAACGAATTCATCTTTTCAAAACAAGTGGTCTAGCAGGACTGACTGTAACTGATTTAATCTTCTTGTTTATTCAGACTGGACCAAAAGGATTGAGTACCAGCCTGGCTCGGGGAGCATGCCCTTGTTCCCCAGTATCCACCTGGAGACGTGCGATGGCGCTGTGTCCTCCCTCCAGGTCACCGCCGAGCTGCAGACTAATTACATCGGCAAGGGCTGTGACCGGGAGACCTACTCTGAGAAATCCCTTCAGAAATTATGTGGTATGCTTTGCTTTTGAGAATTTGTTCAATTAATCGCTTTCAAGTGATACATGCAAATGAAGATTATCTAATTATACCGGAGGGGGTGGGGGTGGGAAACCAGCCTTCCCTACGTGCATCAGCCCTCCTGGATGGATTTTCGCTTAGGGCAGAAGGGTCAGAAAACCCAGCTTTTGGCCTCAAACACAACTGCTTTAGGCTGTTTGCCTGATGCGTGGCTTTAGGCAAGTAGCGTGACAGGACTTCCATTCTTCACTGGTAAGACAGGGATAAGATGGCAAAATCCAGTGAAAAGTTTCTGGCACAGAGCCAAGACACTCGAGGTCCTTCTGCCATGCTAGGCTGTGGAGAGCTGCTTGCCCAGGGCCGTTATGGAGCATGGTGTCAGGCGCCAGCCAAAACGTTTGACTCATCTCCACCAAGGAACTACATAACGTTCAAGGCCTGATGCAAATGGAATGATTAAGGATTTTAATATAGGAACAGCAAAACACTAAAGGAACTGTCTGAAGCTAAACAGCTGCTCAGGGTACAGGGCTGTGAGGCTGAGTCCGGCTGTCCATAGCAGAGCAGCTCCAGGTAGGATGGAGGTGGGTGCGGAAAGATATTCACACATGGAGGCAAAGGGGAGGCAGGTAAGGGGTTATTAATGGAGAGGGGGAGTGGGCTGCAAGAAAGGAGAAAGGCCGGGAATTACTGATAGAAAATTGGGCTGGTAAGAGGACGCCATGGAGGGTGGTTTAGAAGAAGTCTGCCTTCGTTGAACACCCAGGGTGTATATCCAGTGACTCTCAGAATATGATGCTTCCTTTGGTTTCCACGTGTTTACTGTAAGGAGAATATATTCACTCAGCTCTAAAGATGGAAATCTTGGGGGTTCAAAGCATGAAAATTGTTGAAGTTTACACAGATAGAAGGTATCAGAGAGAGGGTTTGAAAGCAGGTCTAGCTGAATGGTAGGGTCATTAGTCAAGCATTTATCACAGCCAGCCTGGTTCCTAGAGCTGAACAGGAGCTCTCCAGTGAGTCTGAAGGAGAGGCTAAAGAGCCTGTGGGTGGGGCCAGTCTACATGCTCTATGAGCTGGTTGCTACTGCATTGATGGAGTTCCTCATCCCACTTGGACATACAACACTTCTCCCTGGTTCTCTACAGGACTATCCAGGGACTCACTTGCAGCTCTCCACTTTGACTGAGGGAGCGAAGGGAGAGACTCCTTCCCACAGTGGGCTACATTTGGCAGTAACCACACCTCTTCAAGAGGAAAGGGAGGCCCTCTGTGTTTTGTTCAGTGTGTCACCTCTATGAGGGCCTCCACCACCATCTTTGGGAAATGTTTTTCATTGTTTGTTCTTGCTCAAAGAATCAAGTTAAAACTTTAGAACCAAAATAAACACCAAGTCGTCAGCAAATTCTGTTCATCACACCACCAGGCTTTCAGGGAGGGTCTGTGGGGATGCCTGCCTCTCTGAACTATTCAGTAGACTGGGGGGAAATAGTGTTTCAAACAACTATTTCAAAGGTGGATATATAGGCATTTGCAATGTTCACACAATGCTTCAAATCCTGTCTCTACATAGTTCACAGAAGCCATAGAATGTGACATCTTACTTGGAATGAATATCCCTTTACATTCTCCGTGCACCTGGAGTGTCAGCGAACTTGACCCCACATGGCCACCATGGGTTATAGTCATTTCCCGAACTCCTCTGGGTTAGAAGGAAATGATGAATTGGCTTGTTAAAGATCAGAGGGCCACAGGGCACATGCTTGTGACTTGATTTGGAATGTTGCTGGGGAGAGATGGGAGATATAGAAACTGCAAAGAGGGTTTTGAGGGAAGAAACAGCAGAGCAAAATTGCATGTGGTGTGCTGGCATCTCTCTCCATCTGGACCGCCAGCCTCTCAGGCTAACCCAGCTGGGGAGACAGTAGTACCCCAGGTGTGCTTCCTCTGGTTCTGGGAGCTTCCCTTTGGATGAGACAGGCTGTTTCTCTCTAGCCGCCTCCCCACCACCTGCCATTCTTATGGGATCTTTGCCCAGTAACCACAGTGGCCAGATAAGTCATGCCTCAGCTCAGAAGCCTTATTTCTGATTGGCCTGGAGTAGAGTACAGCAAAACAGGGCAGAAGCAAAGGGTAGAACATCAGAAGTCAGGCCCTCTGGGGTCATAGGAAAAGGCAGGGGCTGGGTCATGGCCAACACACAGGCTGGATGGTACAGTCTGACTCTTGTGGGCGCCATGGTTCCTGTTGACAGACATCTGTGCTTTCAGTCGAGGGCAGAAAGCTTTCTTGCTGTGTTTCCCAACTAGAGAGCTGCCGTGACACTTTAAACCTCAGCACTCACGCATTTTTCATCCTACAAATCTTGATTGACTCTGGAGAGAAACAGAGAGAGCAATTAGGATGTTATTACCATAGTCTAAGCAACAGATAATGAGTTCTGAACCAGGGGAGTGGTGGTAGGGATGCATGGAGGAGAGCTAAGAGACGAGATCGGCAAGATTTAAGGAGTGGTTAGCTGGTGGAAGGAAGAAAGAAGGGATCTAAGGAACCAGAATCAGCATCTAATTGGGTGACGGGGCCCTCACCCTAAACTAGAGACCCAGGAGCAAGTGTACGTTTATGGGACAGTCACCTGCAGAACCCCACATTCTAGCCTGGAACCCCACATTCCACCCTCCTCTCAATTCTCCCAAGGGTCTGCCTCTACCCCACAGTCCCATCCCTGTAGCTCCTTCCATGCTTGTGTTCTGTCCCTTTTCCTTGTTTCTTCTCATCCCCAGGTCTTTACTTTTCCCTCCCAAGCCCTTCCCTTCAGTCACTAGTCACTTGTTCCCAGTTAGGTCAAGTCTGATGTTGCTTCTGTGGGAGCTGGGGCTCTGCAACATCCTCTGCATTAGTGTGGTTGGACAGTGACCCAGCATCCTCTGTGTTAGTGTGGTTGGACAGTGACCCAGCATCCTCTGTGTTAGTGTGTTTGGACAGTGACCCAGCATCCTTTGTGTTAGTGTGGTTGGACAGTGACCCAGCATCCTTTGCATTAGTGTGACTGGACAGTGACCCAGCATCCTCTGTGTTAGTGTAGCTGGACAGTGACCCAGCATCCTTTGCATTAGTGTGGCTGGACAGTGACCCAGCATCCTCTGTGTTAGTGTGGTTGGACAGTGACCCAGCATCCTCTGCATTAGTGTGGTTGGACAGTGACCCAGCATCCTCTGTGTTAGTGTGGTCAGACAGTGACCCAGCATCCTCTGCATTAGTGTGGTTGGACAGTGACCCAGTATCCTCTGTGTTAGTGTGGTTGGACAGTGACCCAGCATCCTCTGTGTTAGTGTGGTTGGACAGTGACCCAGCATCCTCTGTGTTAGTGTAGCTGGACAATGACCCAGCATCCTCTGCATTAGTGTGGTCAGACAGTGACCCAGCATCCTCTGTGTTAGTGTGGTTGGACAATGACCCAGCATCCTCTGCATTAGTGTGGCTGAACAATGACCCAGCATCCTTTGTATTAGTGTGGCTGGACAGTGACCCAGCATCCTCTGCATTAGTGTGGCTGGACAGTGACCCAGCATCCTCTGCATTAGTATGGTTGGACAGTGACCCAGCATCCTCTGCATTAGTGTGGCTGGACAGTGATCCAGCATCCTCTGTGTTAGTGTGGTTGGACAATGACCCAGCATCCTCTGCATTAGTGTGGTTGGACAGTGACCCAGCATCCTCTGTGTTAGTGTGGTTGGACAGTGACCCAGCATCCTCTGTGTTAGTGTAGCTGGACAGTGACCCAGCATCCTTTGCATTAGTGTGGCTGGACAGTGACCCAGCATCCTCT